TGAACTTATGCAAACAACTATACTGCTATCAAGATAAGAATACCCATTTGTCAAAAGTTTCCCAATTCTGGAGGGATCGGGTAAGGAGAAAAAGATGAATGCTTTGATTTTACTTACAATTGGCTATAAGTCCTAGTTAGCTTGAGAGAAAAGATTTCTTTAAATCTGGAAAAACAAAACAGTAGAGCCTCTTCCTCATTTCGTGTAGCCCCATGTGCTTTAATATTTCTTTTGCTTGAATCCAGTTTTCCTACTAGTTTTTTTTAAACTTTTCCTGATGATTGAGGATGATTGGAATGAAGGAGTTTAAAAGTTTAAAAGTCCAAGAAGCTTGAAAGGTTTTTGTTAAGGTTTTATGATTTTTCCAGTGAAGTGGATACCTTGATCACTGGAGACTGTGGAAGATATACTCCAAGTGGGAAACACATTTTTCTAATAATTTCTCTGCAATTGTGAGATTATAAGCTTTGTGGCAAGGGAAGACTTTAACCCATTGGGAAAACATATATTACATATATATACAATAAGAGGAACATAATGATAATGCATACGAAGTAGCATTTGAATGAAATACAGCTGAAGGTGCCCAAGGACCCAGAGGGAGGAGTTCTGAGGCCTCTGAGGACAGAAATAGTTTTTTTTTTGAGGAAGATTAGCCCTGAGCTAACTACTGCCAGTCCTCCTCTGTTTGCTGAGGAAGACTGGCCCTGAGCTAACATCTGTGCCCATCTTCCTCTACTTTATATGTGGGACGCCTACCACAGCATGGCTTGCCAAGCGGTGTCATGTCCGCACCCGGGATCCGAACCGGCGAACCCTGGGCCGCTGAGAAGTGGAAGGCGAACTTAACCGCTGCGCCACCGGGCCAGCCCCAGAAATAGTTTTTCTTAATGCACTATGGTGGGTGAAGAACGTAAAAATGAAAACATGGGGTTTGCCAGGGAGCGGGCAAGAACCAAGCAGCTATCTTGGGTTTCCCATAGCCCTGACTATTTGTTTAATTTACAGCCACTGTTTACTCATCTTAATTTCTCTGATCCAGGAGCAGACTGTTGCCGTGTTACAAGGACATCAGGATGGCAAAAGTCTGGCAATGAGGGGTCATTTTTTTTTTTTTTTTTTGCAGGAGAAGCAGAATGGATTTCATCCACATGTCTCATAACCTTTATAGATTTTGTTGTTGCTGCCTTTGCATGAAAGTCAGATAAGGAGCTTTCCTGATATTCAGTGTGAGCCTCAATTTTGATGCAGACAACATTTTATGCGAGGACATATTAGAGTTCCAGGAATTTCACATAATTTCTGGAACTCTTTTCTTTTTTTAGGTTGGCACCTGAGCTAGCAACTGTTGCCAATCTTCTTTTTTTTTCTGCTTTTTCTCCCCAAATCCCACCAGTACATAGTTATATATGTTTTTTAGTTGTGGGTCCTTCTAGTTGTGGCATGTGGAACACTGCCTCAGCATGGCCTATTGAGTGGTACCATGTCCGCGCCCAGGATCTGAACCAGTGAAACTCTGGGCTGCTGAAGCGGAGCATGTGAACTTAACCACTCGGTCACGGGGCTGGCTCCTCTGGAACTCTTATAACATATATTTATGACATAACATAATGTAATTTAACATACCAAGTAAGTTTAATTCATTTACTATCTCCCTCTTCATAGAAAAAGAGAAAAAACTCTTTGAGAAGTCCCAGAGCCCACTGGAAATCCCGAAGTTCTTTTTAAGTCAAAAGATTTTACCAAGAATTTGAACCCTGGGAAAGGTTTTTCAAAATATCAAAAGGTTTTAAAACACTTGGTCAAATAGGAAATAATGTTTAGTTATCCATTTTACCAAGGTGACAACAGATAATGTTAAAGACGGACAGAGTTAAACAGTTAAAAAAAAAAAACCCCTAATAGAGAGACCTCAGCCTCTTTGAACATTGGAAATTATTTTAACAAAACATAGACTTTCTGTCACCCAGGTAGACTTACTCAAAGGGAAAGAAAAACCCTCGATAATCTCTTTGTGAAGAGCAGACCAAAAGTTCAAGAAGATCATCCTTTCAAGAGAGAGAAAGCCAAATTCTAATTTTGCACCAGCTTACCCTTGATATTGAAACTCATTTATTTAATTGAATGCATTTTAATCTTAGCCCACTTGACCATGCATAACTCTTTCCTCAGGGTTTTACTTCCACAAACCTTTTGTCACTTGCTTTTTACATTTAGAATTTGTCCCATGCCTTCTTTCTTTTTTTTCTTGCCTAGTCCTTGAGGGCAAATTTACCTTTCTTAACGAAATAAACAGCAATATTTCCATTCTTTATACCTTCTTTACTGAAAACATATATTCGATTGTCTACTTTTCTTACACAGTCATTTTCTCAATCAAAAACTTACAAAGTTTATCTAGAAAAGAAATGATGCAAGGCAGTTATTACAGAATAACTACAGGTTTTACTCTTAGAGGATAGTCTCATTGCCTATTCATCACAATAAATGAATATAAACTCCTTTTACATAATATAGTTAAAATAAACCATATGCTTTTTGGAAATTGCAGTGGGAGATTCACTTGTGTCTGGAGGTTTAGCCTGACATTGCTCTGCCAAACGGGGAATGGTAGAACAGACAGAGGCTAGAAGATCCCCATATTATTGCTTAAGGGGTTGCTCTAAGTTGAGTAGGCAGATTAAGATTTGAAAGGTGGGACAACAACTTCTAAACGGATGGCAGAGCTATAAATATCTGGGAAGCCATCGTCAGAATTCCCACTCTTGCAAGTAGTGATAAGAATTGGGGGACATTCTTTTTAAATAAAGGTTGTTCTCTGGCTGTAAATCTGAAAAGACAAGACAGCAGAGTTTGAGCCTGTCAGAGGGTGACTACATTTGGCCTTGAGGAGTTATCGTCGTGTGTGTACAGAACGGAAAGGACGTTTGTCCTTGTCTTGTTTTCTCCATCTGGCTGCATAGACTCTTCCGTTGTTCTGTTTCCTGTGGTATAAGAGTAACGGCTTTCAGACACATTGGGTCATTCGATAGCAAGAAATATACTGTATATCATGGTCCAGCATATACCTACATATGAAAAATCATACAAGTAACTGAAATAAAAGTTTAATAAATGAACACATATTTTCTATTTTTAGTATATGCCAGACACGCATTCTATTTTGTCTTTTAGGAAATTCTTTTCTTTTATTTAAATATATAAATTTTATGATAAATTTGTATATTTAAATTTAAATAAGATAAAATTGAAGATGTATTATCCATTTATCTATGATGATAAATGTAGATGCCACGTATATTTTCTATTTAAATAAATCTTAATCATAATTTATCAATGGTCTATGACCATGGTTTGAAAAATAAGAAGTTATGGTAAATCTTTCCATAGTAGGAGGAAGTTCTCCTGCGCGTTCCATTGCTTCGTATCCTCGAAGGGTCCCCCGATGCTCTGCCTGTCTGGGGGTCGACTGGACGCTGCATGAGGGCACAACCCAGAGCCGCCTGACGGCTCCCCGACATCGCCCATGGCCTCAGGAGGACGATCAAGGGAAGGCCCTCTCCCGTCCCCCTCCCCCGGGAGGAGACCAGGCAGCCACTTCACATCCCATCCTCGTCACCAGACATGATAACTGGAATGAGCAGCTTTACGAGGCAAAGGTAAGTTGTAAAGAAAAGAGAGTATTAAAAGGTTTGCAAACTGGGGAGCTCCACCTCAGCCCACACGTTGGTAGTTGAGCACCTCCTTTGTCTTGAGTGTCTGTGTTTTAAAGGCAAAAAGTGCCGAGTTTGCAAGGTTAAGGCTGAGTCCCATTCTGTTTGGTTGCCCTTTCCAGCTACGGCGTATCTTTTCCCTGGGACTTCCGAAATGTCCTAACCAGAGAAAAACTACTGCATTGTTCTCTGGCCATCTGGTAACAGTCAAGGTCAAAATGTACTTTTCTGTTTCTGCCCACAGTTCAGCCTTGAGTTGGGTCATGGGAAACGTCAGGTCGACCTTGGCCTCCTTCTTATCTCTTTCTTTTACCACAGTCTTATAAGGACAGCATTTTTTGTGGTCCGGGATCCAATCCAGGATTTAGTTTACCTGTTCCTTTTACCTGGAACATAGCCTCAGCTTTTCTTTGTTTTTCATCACAATTTGACAATTTGAATAGAAAGGGAAAATTGTTTCGTAGAATACCCCTCAGGTGGAGTTTATACAACGTGCACGCATGAAGACATTCAGGCCCAGAGTTCATGTTTAAAATTTTCCCACATAGAATGTGGGGAGAGTAATGGATAGTAGGGAAATTTGACAAATGAAACCTCAGCCAGGTGATCAAGGTCAACGTCAATGGTGATAGTCACGAGGACTGTAAATTCCCCCAAAGTGTTGTGATGAAAATGGTGTTTAACCTCTGTGAACTTCCTCCCCCAAATCCATAAGCCCAGTGTGATCATGAGAAAAACCCCAGCAAACTCCAAAAGAGAGACTTTGCCAAAATACCTTACCAGTGCTCCTCAAAACTGTCAAGATCATCAAAAATAAGGAAAGTCAGAGAAAACGTCACAGCCAAGAGGAGCCTGAGGAGACAATGTGATGTGGCATCTGGATAGGATCCTGGAACAGACAAAAGACATTAGGGAAGAACCAAGGAAATCTGAATGAAGTAGGGACTATGGAAACTCTCTCTACTGTCTTTGCAATCTGTATATACATCTAAAACTGTTCTCAAAACATGAAGCTTATGAAAACTATTTTTTAAATTTGCTCACATTTCTACATGCTTGGGCTTGTTATTGAATTCCTGGCTCCTTTTCAGTCAGATTACCCCAGAATGTTCTCTGAATGACTTCATAGTTACTCAATATCATCAGCCTTGGGACCATCTATCAAGATCTAATTTTCTTTATCAGCAGGAACTTCATCAACAAACTGGAAGACATTAATGATTGCTTTATCTTTAGGATAAAAGCTGGTCTCCCAGCAGCTGCCATAATCTCCAGCAGCAGCTGCAGCTGAAACTCTAACACGAGGAACAAAGAGCTCATCACAATGTCAGACGGGTATGTGTGGTTTGAAGGGGTGCCTTTCCCTACCAAGGGTTTCACACCTGAAGTCCTGAGAGAAGTGCGGGAGAGTTTTGTGTTTAAGGATGAAGATGTCTTAATACTGACTTACCCCAAATCAGGTAAGGAAGTGGGATCAGATATTGAGACAGGCTGTGGCCGTGTCCCTCATTCACTCAGTAGACGAATGGAGTGCTTTCTATACGCCAGACAATGTGCGATGCTGTGTGGGAGTAGAGCTGTGCCCTGATGCCATTAATAATCAGAGAAAAGGCTTCAGCCAGGCAGTTACACAGTAAGATGAGCGTCCAGAGGGGTAACCTCAGGTATCAGGGGAACCGACAGGAATGACTCCTAGAGTAGAGTCAGCTGTTCATATGGAGGAGAGGAGTAGGATGACCAGTGGAGTCCTCATAGAAGAAACAGGAACAAAAAAGGGTAATTATGTGGGATGATGGATATGTTAATTAGCTTGATCGTGTTCATCATTTCACAATGTACGCTTATTCAAATCATCACATTGTACAGCTTAAATCAATTTTTCTTTGCCAGTTATACCTCAGTAAAACTGGGGAGGGATGAATAAACACAGCTATCACAGACAGAAAAAAACCGTAGCAGAAATAGCATCTAAATTGAGATGAAAGAATGAATGAGAACCTACTGAAAAGAACCCGGCAGATTCAAGGGTCTGAGAGGATGTGGATCATATTTCTATGAGGGGAGATGGTTGGGGGACTGCAAACTGGGAAAGGCCTGAGGCTGAAGACATTAGAAGTGTCCTCCCGGTGAAAAGCCAAGGGCAAGGGGAGCAACTTAAAAGGATTTAAGCAAAAAGCTAAAAGGTGGAAACAACTCAAAGTCCATTGACAGATAATAGGATAGACAAAATGTAGTATAAACACATAATGGGGTATTTTTCAGCATTAAAAACCAACGAAGATCTGGCACATGACACAGCATGGGGTGAACTGTGAGGACATTATGCTGAGTGAAGTAAGCCCATCACAGAAGGACACATGTCATGTGATCTCACTTAGATGAGGTGTCTAGAGTAATCGAGCTCATTGAAACACAGAGTGGAATGATGGCAGCCAGGGACTGGAAGGAGGGGAAAATGGAGACTTGTTGCTGAGTGGGGACAGAGTTTCAGTTCTTCAAGATTGTTGCACAACAATGCGAATTTACTTCACACTGCTGAACTGTGCACTTGAAAATGGTTAAGATGGTGCACTTTATGTTGTGTATGTTTTATCACAATTTTTTAAAAAAAAAGTCAGATTAAAATGAGTGACCATCATTTTTCCTTCTTTATCCAGGAACAAACTGGTTGATTGAAATTGTCTGCCTGGTTTACTCCAAGGGCGATCCCAAGCGGATCCAATCTGTGCCCATTTGGGAACGCTCGCCCTGGGTAGAAGCTGAGTGTGGGTATAATGCACTAAAGGATAAGGAAGGCCCCCGCCTCATCAGCACCCACCTCCCCATCCAGCTCATCCCCAAGTCTCTCTTCAATTCCAAGGCCAAGGTCAGTGCTCAATGGTCAAGATAAGTTTGATGAATGCTTTCCAAACTCTAATGTGCCTGGGAATCCCCTGGAGATCCGGTTGAAAGGCAGCCTCATCCAGTAGATCTGGGGTGGGCCTGAGATCCTGCATTGGGTGTTCCAGGGTCCATACTTGAGTACAAGGGTATAGACCCCCACACAGGTTATACCACCCAGATTTAAACCAGAGGCAAAGTGAAATGATAATGCCAGAATCTTAGAAAACCACGTTTTACACCCGACCAGAATTTATAACTGTGTTGTATCCAAGATAACCCCACTCTATGGATCTAAAAATGATCAGCCAATCTTCATTAAGTAAATGGCTTCCACCACTTGGGTAGAAGCACCAGACATCGAGTTGCTCAGGTGGGAAGCAGCCCATTCATAAATCAATGCCTAAATCCAGGGAGATTGTGCTGGCATCGTGTCTGGTTTTTCTGACCACTCTGTCTTCCTACATATAACTGACTATGGAGCTCAGCAGCCACAGGAACCTCTCATGGTGCTGACAGATGGTGCCCAGGAGGGACCACGGACACCCAGGAGCTAGCATATCTCAGACTGTTTTTAGAAACATACTGTCCTGGAAGGTGCTCCTTGGTTATGATTTTTAAAAATGTTATATGCTTAAATTAGATCGTGGGAGTTAGTATAGATCAGATTTCAAAGGCAAAGTCTTCTTTGCACGTGTGTACCTGTATGTGCACACTAGTCTTGAGTTTAGCTTATTGATCTTTTTATATGTACACAACTTGGGTAACTCCTTGCAGGACATTTGGTCTTGTCTAAATCATATGGGAGCCATTTGGTCCACAGGACATTTGGTTTATGCCAAAAGGTCCTTGACATTTGGTCCTGTCCAAAACATTCATGAGCACTTTTGGTCCGTGCCAAGTGACTTTTGACAGGACAAAATATCAGGCGTATGATCCGATGTCTCCACAGACACTTTGGATGCAACCAAATATCAAGGACCTTTTGGCATGAATCCATGTCTTATGGACCAAACGTCTGCTAATTAGGTACCTTCCAGATCCAGATTTAGAGCATTTCCATTCCCCCAGGAAGCTCCTTCATATGCCTCCCCAGTCAATGCTCATCCCCAGAGGTGACCACTCCCCTGACTTCTAACTCTATAGATTAGTTTTGCTTTTTCTTGAACTTCATAGAAATAGACTTCAGTGTTACAAACATCCACTGCGTATCTATGAATATAGCACAGTTGATTAATCCGTCTCCTAGTAGTAAGCTTTAAACCATGCTACAGGAATATAATAGCATTCACCTTTTAAAACCTTCAGGTTGCTTCCCATTCTGAGTAGACTATGATATCCAAGAGGGAAGTGGCAATGCTTTCCTTTTCCACTGTTATGTTCTTAGTATGACTCCAGTGTCTGGTTCATAGGAAATTAAAAATATATATTTGGTTAATGAATGCAATAACCAACTTGTTAACAAATGCATTGATACTTAGGCATTTTTTAAGAATTGGTTTTTCTCCATTTTTATGAAGATCAAGAAGGATGGGAAATGGCTGTATTAATTTTTTGTTATTCCATTTTTCTCTTTCAGGTGATTTATCTCATCAGAAATCCCAGAGATGTTCTCATGTCTGGTTATTTTTTCTATGGGGTTTCATCTTTTGCTGAGAAATTTGAGTCATTGGAAGAATATTTTGAATGGTTCATCAAAGGAAATCGTGAGTGAATGGAAAATATGGAAGCTGGGGGATTGCCAGAGGCCTTTATCAGACCCCATCTTACACCCAACCTGAGATCTCTACATCTCACCATCCTGGGATTATAAGGCTCCATCACCACCGGATCCCAAATTTTCAAAGTCCACATCCTCTCCTGCACAGCAGCAGAACCCTAGCCAGCCTTTCAGCTTGCCCCGTCATCAACCATGCTAGCCATGTTCTGAGTCTCCAGGGCCTTTCTAATTCTAACACAGAACACTTGTATTCTTCTCTACTTTGATAATTCATGGCTTTCTGCAAGTCAGCCTTTCATTGGCTTCCTGGACAACACAATCCCGACTTCTCACCATTTTTTAGATGCATCTTTCTAAAACTCTCTTAATATTCTTGCCATACCTGTCTCAAAAATGTATGCATTACCCTAGGATCTCTATACTTTTAATTATGCAGAATTTCTAGACTTTCCCTGATGCTTGAAACGTTGTCATTTTTCTCAAAACTATATGATGAGTCCCATATCTCAGCTATGATATGTCTCCCCAGATTCAGATGTGTTTCTCTATCAGGCCATGGGCATCTTCACTGGAGAACGCCACAGGCATCACTAATTCAGTATGTTCAAGATTGAACACATTTCCCGCATGTCCCAAACTGCTCCCACTGCAAGTTGATCTCATTCAGTTACTAGAACCACACCTCACGCAAGGTTAGCATGACTCTGATGTCTCAAAAAGTGTCATCTGTTTCCCCTCCCACTTCCTCATGCCCCTCACCACTTTCTTTTATCTATTTATTATCCAAGTCCGATGACCTTGACCAATATCTTCATTCTGGTCTCTGCTAAAATGTCTCTGTATTCAGGGAAGTCTTCCCTTTCACTACTATATAGAATAGCGTCCTTCTCTATCTCTATAGTCTTATCTTTTCCTTCCCTGAGTACTCATCACCAACGAGTATGTTTTCTATTTATTTTTTTATTGCATGCATCTCCCCACTTAAATATAAGCTCTTTGAATTGTTCATTGTTGGTCCCACGTCCTAGAATGGTCTTGCCACATAGTAGCAGCTAATATACCTTTGTTAAATAATGAATATTTATTTGCCACAAAAGAAGCCATCTGGTCCTAAACTTTCGTTTTTTGGGAGGTTTTTGATTACTGTTTCAATCTCTTTACTTGTGATTGGTCTATTCAGATTCTCTGTTTCTTCTTGATTCATTTTTTGGAGGTTGTATGAATCTAAGAATTTATCTATTTCTTCTAGGTTATCCAATTTGTTGGCATATAGCTTTTCACAGTATTCTCTCTCTCTTTTTTTTTTTTCTGCTTTATCTCCCCAAATCCCCCTGGTACATAGTTGTATATCTTAGTTGCAGGTCCTTCTAGTTGTGCATAGTATTTTCTTTTAATCCTCTGTATTTCTGTGGTATTGATTGTAATTTCTCCTCTTTCATTTCTAGTTTTATTTATTTGAATCTTCTCTCTTTTTCTTAGTGAATATGGCTAAGACTTTGTCAATTTTGTTTATCTTTTTGAAGAACCAGCTGTTAGTCTCATTGATCCTTTCTATTTTTTTAAGTCTGTTTCATTTATTTCTGCTGTAATTTTTATTATTTCCTTCCTTCTACTGACTTTAGGCTTTGTTTGTTCTTCTTTTTCTAGTTCTTTTATGTGTAGTTGTAGATTGTTTATTTGAGATTTTTCTTGTTTCTTGAGGTAGGCCGATATTGCTATAAGCTTCTCCCTTAGTACTGCTTTTGCTGCATCCCATAGATTTTGGTATGTTGTGTTTTCATTTTCATTTGTCTCCAGGTATTTTTTGATTTCTTTTTGGATTTCCTCATTGATCCAATAGTTGTTCAGTGGTATATTGTTTAGTCTTGACATTTTTGTGACTTTTCCAGAGATTTTCTTGTAGTTGATTTCCAGTTGATACCATTGTGGTTGGAAAAGATGCTTGATATGATTTCAATCTTCTCAAATTTATTGAGGCTTGTTTAGTTCCCAACATATGGTCTATCTTTGAGGATATTCCATGTGCACTTAAGAAGAATGTGTATTCTGCTGATTTTGGATGGAATTTTCTCTATATATCTATTATGTCAATCTGGTCTAGTGTTTCATTTAAGGCAACTGTTTCCTTGTTGACCTTCTGTCTAGATTGACATAAATGAGGTGTTAAAGTCCCTTACTATTATTGCATTGCTGTCAAGTTCTCCCTTTAGATCTGTTAATATTTGCTTTATATACTTTGGTGTTCCTATATTTGGTGCATATATATTAATAAGTGTTAAGTCTTCTTGGTGGAATGTTCCTTTTATTATTGTGTAATGTCCATCTTTGTCTCTTATCTTTTTTGGCTTGAAGTCTGTTTTGTCTGATGTAGGTATGGCTACACCTGCTTTCTTTTGGTTGCCAATTGCTTGGAGCGTCGTCTTTCCTCCTTTCACTCTGAGCCTACGTTTGTCTTTAGAGCTGAGATGGGTCTCCTGGAGGCAGCACATTGTTGGGTCTTGTTTTTGATCCATCCAGCCAGTCTGTGTCTTTCAATTGGTGAATTCAATCCATTTATATTTAGAGTAATTATTGATATATGAGGGCTTAATAATACATTTCATCTTTTGTTTTCTGACTGTTCTATATTTCCATTATTTCTTTTCCCTTGTATTTATGTCTGTCATTTCAGTTTGGTGGTTTTCTGTGATGTTTTTCCCAGTTTTCTCTTTATTTCTTGATTTGTGACTCCACTCTGATGTTTTGTTTTGTGGCTACCTGAGGTTTGCATAAATGATCTCGTAGATAAGATAGTCCATTTTCTGCTGATTGCGTCTTATCTCCATTAGCTGATGCAGGTTCTATCTCTTTCCTCTTCCTCTTCCAAATTTTGTTGTCATAAATCACCCTTTATTGTATTGTGAGTTTGGTGCCAAATTGAAGTCGTTATAGTTATTTTTGATGCTTTCTTTCCCTTTAGCTTTTGTGTTATAATTGTTTACTAACCTTTTCTGATATAGAGTTGCAATTTTCTGATTCTGTCTTTTTATCCCCTTGTTCAAAGCTTTGTAAACCTTTGCCTTTTTGTTTCAGGCAGGAGAGCTCCTTTCAACATTTCTTGCAAGGCAGGTCTAGTGATGATGATCTCCCTCGGCTTTTGTTTGAGAAAGCTCTTGTTTCTCCATGATATCTGAAGGATAGCTTTGCTAGATATTCTTGACTGATAGTTTCTGTCTTTTAATATTTTGAACGTATCATTCTACTTTCTCCTAGACTGTCGAATTTCTGCTGAGAAATCCACTGATAGCCTAATGAGAGTTCCTTAATAAGTTATTTTCTTCTCTCTGACTCTGTATATACCCAGTTCCTTCCCCAGGTGGGAAGTTCTAAGTTATTATTTCCAACGTCCTCACTAACACATGTTATGGCTGCTCTTTTTGATATTAGCCATCTTAACAGGTGTGATGTGATATTTTATTGTGGCTTTGATTTGCATTTCCCTGATGATTAGTGATGTTTAGCACCTTTTCATATACCTACTGGCCATTTTAATATCTTCTTTGGAAAAACATCTATTCAGGTGCATTGCCCATTTTTAAACTGGATTATTTGCCTTTTTGCTATTGAATTGTATGTGTTCTTTATATTTTGGATATTTATCCCTTATCAGATATACGGTTTGCAAATATTCTTTCCCATTGTGTACATTGCCTTTTCAAATTACTGGTTTTTTCCACCACTGTGCAGAAGCTTTTTATTTTATAAATTCCCACTTGTTTATTTTAGCTTTTGTTGCCTGTGCTTTTGAGATCTTATCCAACGAATCATTGCCAATCCAATGTCAAGGATCTTTCCCCATGTTTTCTTGTAGGAGTTTTATGGTTTCAGATCTTACATTTCAGTCTCTGATCCATTTCAAGTTAATTTTTGTGAGTGGTGTAAAATAGGGGTTCAGTTTCATTCTTTTTCATGTGGATATCCGGTTTTCCCGACACCATTTATTGAAGAGACTATCCTTTCCCCATTATGTGTTCTTGGTGCCCTTGTCAAAAATTAGTTGACCACATATGTGTGGGTTTATGTCTGGACTCTCTATTCTATTCTGCTGGCCTGTGTGCCTGTTTTTATGCCAGTACAATGCTGTGTTGATTACTATAGCTTTGCAGTAACACTTGAAATCAGGAATTGCGATGCCTTCTGCTGTTCTTTCTCAGGATTGCTTTTTCTACTTGGGGTCTTTTGTGGTTTCACACAAATTTCAGGATTTTTATTCTACTTCTGTGAAAGATGACATTGGAATTTTGATAAGGATTGCACTGGCTTTTGGGTAGTATGGACATTTTCACAATATTGCTATTTTGAATCCAAGAACACAAGATATCTTTCCATTTATTTGTGTCCTCTCAATCTCTTTCATCAGTGTCTTAGAATTTTCAGTGTACTGGCTTTCACCTCCTTGGTTAAATTTATTCCTAAGTATTTTTATTATTTTTTGATGCTATTGTAAACAGGATTGCTTTCTTAATTTTTCTTTCAGATAGTTCATTGTTAGTGAATATAAACACAATTTCTTTAAGTTGATTTTGCATTCTGTAACTTTATTAAATTCATTTATTAGTTCTACCAGTTTTTTTGTAGACTCTTTAGGATTTTCTATATATCAGATCATGTCATTTGCAAATAGAGATAATATTACTTCTTCCTTTCTGATTTGGATGCCTCTTTTTTTTTCTTACCTAAGGAAAGTCTTTTCACCATTGAGTATGATGTTAGCTGTGGGTTTGTCATATGTGACCTTTATTACGATGAAGAACATTCCTTTTTTACCTAGTTTCTTGAGAGTTTTTATCACGAGAATGTTGATTTTGTCAAATGCTTTTTCTGCATCTAATGAAATGATCATATGATTTTTATCCTTCATTCTGCTAATGTGCTGTATCATTATAATGATTTGCACATGTTGAAGCATCCTTGCGTCCCATAGAGTAACATCCTTTTAATGTGCTCTTGAACCTAGGTTGCTAATATTTTGTTGAGGATTTTTATTCTCATCTATATTCATCAGGAATGTTGATCTGTAGTTTTCTCTTCTTATAGTGTCCTTATCTGGCTTTTGTATCAGAGTAATGCTGACCTCATAAATGAGTTTGGGAGTGTTCCCTTCTCTTCAATTTTTTTGAAGTTTGAGAAGGTGTGGCATTAATTCTCCATTTCTGATTTGCTAGAATTTACCAGGAAACCATCTGGTCCTGGATTTTTCTTTGTCGAGAGATTTTTGATTACAGATTCATTCTCATTACCTCTTATTGAACTATGCAGATTTTCTATTTCTTCATGATTCAGTCTTTGCAGGTTGTATGGTTCTAGAAATTTATCCATTACTTCTGGGTTATCCAATTTGTTGGTGTGTAATTGTTCATAGTAGTCTCTTATGATCCTTAGTATTTCTGTGGCATCAGTTATAATGTCTCTTCTTTCATTTCTTTTATTTATTTGAGTCTGCACTGTTCTTTTCTGATTAGTCTAGCTAAAGGCTTGTCAATTTTGTTTATTTTTTTAAAACCAGCTCTTACTTTCATTAATCTGTTCTATTGTTTCTTGTCTGTATATTATTTTTTTCCTCCTCTTGTCTTTGCTGTTTCCTCTTCTGATAATTCTTGGCTTAATTTGTTCTTCTATTTTTAGATTTTTGAGATATAAAGTTAGGTTGTTGATTTGAGATCTTTCTTTTTCTTAATGTAGGCATTTATAGCTATAATCTTCCCTCTTAGAATTGCTCTGTTGCATCCCATAATTTTTGATATGTCGTGCTTCCATTTTTGTTTGTTTTACATCTTTTAAATTTCCCTTTCGATTTCTTATTTGACAATTGGTTTTCCTTCCTCCCGGATTCACGTTATTTATTCATAAAGAATAACTTAAACTAGTTCTCCCATAACAAAAGTAGTAAATTCCCTCAGTATGTTGCCTGAAAATGTCTTTATTTTATGCTCATTCTTTTTTTAAAAAAAAATTAACTTGCCCATGGTCCCCCCACCTGGTAAATGGCAGAGCCAGGGTTTGAAGCCAGACACTCTTTTGCTCTTTTTCACTGGGAAAGATTCACCCTGAGCGAACATCTGTTGCCAATCTTCCTCTCTCTTTTTTTCCCCTCGCCAAAGCCCTAGAACATAGTTGTATATTCTAGTGGTAAGTCCTTCTAGTTTTCCTTTGTAGGACGCTGCCACAGCATGGCTCCAGAAAGATGAGTGGTGTGGTTCCACACCAGGGAACTGAACCCAGGCTGCTGAAGCAGAGTGCTCTGAACTTTAACCACTTGGCCATCAGGGCTGGCTCAATTTTTTTTTGCTCATTCTTGAATGATCATTTAACCAAGTAGAATTCTCAGTTTATAATTAATTTCCCACTACACTTTGGAGTTAAGAAGCCCTTGGGTATGGTAGACAGCCATTCAAAAGTATAAAATAGCTAAGGTATGGAGGATGGCGTGAGAAGATTTACCTCCCAAGAAGACAATCTAAAATATAGAGAAAGGCAATTTTCAAGGGAACAAGCCTGAGAATTTCCTTCATTGATGAAATCTCAGTTTAAAGAACCACACCTAGCCTCACAAAGAATTATTACAGATAAATCTTCATTTAGTCGCTAGGAAAGCTGTAGTGCAAAAAGGAAAAAACTCTTAAACCAGAGGAAAGACAGATAATTTCCAAAGGAACAATAATTACAATAGTAACAATGAAGGGCAGGAGACAGAAAAATGTGTTCAAGGGCAGAATGACCTATCAACCAAAAATTCTAAACACTGAACAGGTTAGGGGCAGGAAGAATACCATTCCTCAGGCCACATGGCTCTCTAGACAAGATCTCCTTAGAGACCCTTGAAAACTGGCACAGAGCCTCCTCCAAATGAGAAAGGCTTACTACAGAGTAAATGCATGATGTTGGATAATAGTTTTCCATCTTTACTCTCATTCATTCAGCAAATAGTTAGGACATTCACAAACATGCCAGACATTGGGCTATGAATGGTGCCCACAAGAGTGAAGATAATAGATGGATCCTGGTGCTCACAGACTTTGTAATCTGTCCCCTCTGTCTGCCTCCCCAATATGCAGTGCCATATGGATCCTGGTTTGACCACACTCATGGCTGGATGTCCATGAGAGGGAAGGAGAACTTCCTGATACTGAGTTATGAAGAGCTGAAACGGGTAACTGTGGCCCTTATGGTTACCACACACCTCTCACCACCATCTCCACTCCTCTAACTTCCCTCCATTCCTCTGTGTTTCTATTCCACCTTCTCAGTCAAAGTTTATCCTTGTGAAGAGTCATTAGGAGTGAGAACAGCTCCCTGTCTTCATTGCTCTAATTCTGGTTGACACTGCCCAAGCTCCATGCTCTCTTTCTTCGTGTGTTCATCTTTGTTTCATCCTGCAACATCTAAAGGTCTTTTTCATGCACTGAGACAGACTACAATCGCTTATGCTCACACTGGCCATGGTTCTAAAATTTCTAAGGGTAGGACACATGATGCTGGTGAAAACCTAGTGGTGGGAGGGGACTGAGGGAGAAGAGGGAACTGGGTAGAAACAAGTCTGGACCCAGAAGAGAGTCCAACTGTCTGACATCCCAGACTGACTGATAGAAGAAAAATGAAGTCATGACACCAGTCTGTGTAATTATTCTGACAAGCCAGGTACTAGACTGAACAGTATGGGCAGGAAAAGTTGTCAGAGGATACTCAAAACCAGTAAGGATAATTAAACCATTGGAAGAAGAACTTGGCCCATTAGTGGTATCCTGGAGAAAAGAGAAAATAATGTAAATGGAGGCTTTTGCTTCTGAGAAACATTACTCCCCATCATCTTCCTCTGGCTACTTCTGTCCAATCTTCTGTGACTTCCACATGAGTTTCATTTTTACCAAGAAGCCTTCTGTAACGAGTTTACCTACCTCAGGTACATGCTGCTACACTTTCCAGGAATTATGCTTTCAAGCTGCAGTATGAACATTTATTGTAGTAATTTCTATAGTTGTGTGTTTTCTGGCTAGGTCCTAATGAGGGCTCATGGGATAAAGAGACATTTTAAAGCAGTATAGCTCCAAGAGGAAGGTGTATAATTCAAAGTAAAGTCTTTGTGGTTATGAAATCCATTTTCTTATAATGCCTTCCCAGGATCATATGCCAAGTACTAATTACTGAGATGATATATAAGACGATATTATGAAACTCTGTGTGTTATTCAAATGTTAGATATGTAAAATGGTATTATTTAACGGCACAGCCAGGATGCGAAATCAAAATCCCCTCAATCTTGTCAAGTTCTCCCTGAATCTCTACTCAGTTAGTCCTGATCATAATTGTCTAGAAGTCTTCCTAAAAATCTCTTTAGAACCCAGGCTCTGATTTAGCATTAAGGCATCTTGAGATCAACTATACTGGGAAATCCATGTGGATCCTGCATCTTTGACATCCTTTGTGCTCCTTCCTCTTTACCTTTTCCTTTCTTCCCTCTAGTCACATCCAGCCAATCACTTCTTGCTTCTCACTTTGTTTCTCTCTTCCTCCCTCCTCTCCTCCTTCTCCTCACATTGTTTCTTCCTTTTCACCTCCTTTCCTATGTTCTTTCCCTTTCATGTCCTCTTTCTTGTTTTTTCTTCTTCTAGGACACAAGAAGCATCATAGAGATCTGCCAGTTCCTAGGCAAGAAATTAGAACCAGAAGAACTGAACTCTGTCCTCAAGAATAGCTCCTTCCAGGTCATGAAAGAAAACAAGATGTCCAATTATTCCCTCCTGCAAGATCAATGTCTCAGTAAGAATGGAATACTTCTGAGAAAAGGTAAAAGACAAGCTCTGCCTTCAAAATGTATCAGAATATTTAGAGGGCATCATGATGATAACAGTAGGGCGCCAATAATTGGGACTAGGGAGTGTTTGAGTTTTTCAACTCTCATTGCTCATCACCCAGAGAACTTCTTGGGCGTCCTTATCAAGAAGTCTCTTTTCATAGCACTGATGTGGGCTGCAGGCCTTTAGAGGAAGTTGATTAGGCCTCCGATGGTCATCTAACTTATGCGAGGTCATTAAGATTCTCTCTTCGCAGAATTTGACACGAGGCATATTCATTCTAAAAACACTGACCAGGTTAATTCACTACTCCTGCCAACTTTCCAGTTCAGCTTGACCTGGGAAATGAGGACAAGACAGGAGATGGTCATGTCAGTGCTACCCTACTGGTGATTTAGCACAGAGAACTATTCTGAACAAACAAATGTGTAAAGAATGACTCAACTGAGAAAAGGAGAGAGGAGAGACTTTTCACTTAGCTGAGAGGTTGTCTTGCTATCAGACATTCTAAGTCCCCCTGTGATGAAACATTAATCATGTCTATATCCTTGGACTCAAGATGAATGAAGAGTGTCTACTGCATGGAGAAGGAGCTTCATTTAGTTTAAATAGATCCAGGATGGCGAGCCATGGAAGGAAGAAATTAAATGATTCAAAAGACCGCAGGAGCTGGTACCTGCCATCCAGGACAGAGAAGGCAGGGGCCACCAACTAGGTAGACCAGGAGCTCAGAACTCCTTAAAATCTCATGGAATTTGCCTTATTAGGTTTTGGATTTGCTTGATACTCACGATCCCTTTCTTCTTTCTCCCTATTGAAACGGGCATGTCTATCCTATGCCTTTCCTACCATTGTATTTTGGAAGCAGCTAACTTGTCTGGTTCCACAGGTCGCAGCTGGAGAGGAGTCTTGCCTCAGGATGAATCTCACCTCGAGTGTCACCCATGCCCAATTTACATGATATTTAGCTGATTTTTGGACTTAGAGTTGATGTTGGAATGGGTTTACACTTCTTGGCAGTTGGGAAGGGGTGAATGTATTTTGCATGTGAGAAGGACATGAATTGGGGGAGAGGAGGCCAAAAGGATGAACATTATAGGCTCAATTATGTCTCCCCAAAATTCATATATTGCATTCCTAACCTACTACCTTCAAATATAAGCGTATTTGGAGATAAGGTGTTTAAAGAGGTAATTAAGTCAAAATGAGACTTTTAAGGTGGGACCTAATCCATATGAATGGTGTCCTTATAAGAAGAGGAAATTTGGACATAGGCAAGTGCACACATGAAGAGAAGATCATTGACAATGGCCATGTTCACACCAAGTAGGGAAGCCTCCAGGAGAAACCAGCATTGCTGACACCTGGATCCTGGACTTCTAGCCTCCAGACGGAGAAAATAAATAACTGTTCTCTAGAAAAAAAAGATCTCTAGCAATCCCAGCCTTTGACACTTTACTAAGCTATAAGTAAAGAGAACACCTAGCTTAGATAGATTGTCCATTCTTAGGTTTCCTTTTATACATCAGCTTTTGGCAGAGCTTAAAATGTTATAGTTATGTACAGTGCTTGTGAGAAATGGCTAAAAGGACAAAAGATGATTGCATAAGAGAGAAAGGCAATGGGAGCTAACAACCCAGATTTTTGCCAGAGACAAAATAGAGTAGACACAATCAAATTTGGTGCATAATTCATTGAGTACACCCACTATTTCTTCTTGTCTAGGATGACTCCTCCAGAAGGCAACCATATTGGATTTCAATATTTTCCAGTAACTCAGGGAATTTATTATATGTTATAGAGATTTGAGAGGGATAGATATAATAATGATAATAATAGCTAATGCCTGTGATTATTATTGACGAGCTGATGATCTGACTCCATATGCAGTTTGTAATTAAATCACCACAACAATCTCATGGGGGCATTATTTTCCTCAGAAAAGTGTGATACCTGATGCAGCTAGTAAGACACTTGGAAAACTGGGTCTCTGATGCTAGAGACTAAGCTCATAACTACCATGCTCTGTGACTTCAATATTCTAGGACAGAGTATACCAGGAACGGATAGGTGGATGAAAGAAAGAAAGTGATGAAAAGGAATAATATCCTGCTTCTCTATCCCATGTCTGATCTGTGTCCTTTCTTTCATCGAGAGGTACATAGAGGTCCCAGATAAATTTTAAAATTAATTATATCAATTATAATTAGATAATCAATTATATAAATGATACTGAAAAGCTATATCAAATGTTGCCTGTTCTTGGTCAAGGGCTTTTCTCTTAGACCTTCTTTCATGATGTTTGGGGCCCTTTTCTGCTCAGGACATGAGAAAAATACTTTTTATTGCCCCTCGGGGTCTACACATACCAGCTGCACTCAGGAGAATCCTGGCTGTTGAAGCTTCCATTACCGGTGACCCATCTGATTTTTCAGAGAAAAGCAATATTTTTCTCTAATGAATTATGATTATTATTATCCTTGATTATTTTTATGCTAAAAGATAGTGCCTGGCATGGGTTAGATATTCTATGACTTTTGCTGAATAAACAGAAAGAAGAATGATTAAAAACATAATATATTAATTTATTAAAGAAACTTGGTTTGAAGTATAATAATCAATGAGCTGGTGACACATTGCCCACCTATTATGATATTTTGAAACATAGTACAGATTAGAACATCAAAATCATTGAGGTATAGCTGTTAACACTAGAACGGTAAACATCCTATGACCTGAAGCTCTAATGAAGTTTATCTAAAACTTGATATCATTCAGCCATTATTATATAATAGTGCTTCACAGAATTTTTTAAAAAGTGTCTTCATACCCAAGATGTTATGGACTGAATTTTGTCCTCCCACAAAATCTGTATGTTCAAGCCTTAACATCCAGTACCTCAGAGTGTGACCATATTTGGAGATAGGGTCTTACAAAGGTAATTAAGTTAAAGTGAGAATATTAGAGTGGGATGAAGTCCAATTTGACTGGTGTCCTTATAAGAAGACTACATTTGGACATAGATGCGTACATAGGGAAGACAAATACGAAGACACAGGGAGAAGATGGTCATTTATAAGCCAAGGGGAGAAGCCTGGAACAGATCTTTCCTTGTGGACTCAGAAGGAACCAACTCTGTCAACACCTTGACCTCTGACTTCTGCCTTCTAGAACTATGAGAAACTACATTTCCATTGTGAAGTCATTCAGTCTGTGGTACTTGTTAACAGCAGCCCTAGCAAACTAATACACAAGAGTTTGGGGAGATTTTTGAGAGAAAAAGACTAAGGAGAGACATAAACAGAAATTTACATCGGAAGGATTTGTAGAATTTTGAAAACAGATACAATTTTGAACTTGAGGCCCCTCCATAGACATGTTGCATCCTCTCTTCTGGACTGATGTTTAATCAGGGGCCGCCATATTGAATTTACAGAGACTTTGGTGCCTTGAGATCACTTTCTGGCTTCGTGAAAGTCAGGGGTGTTATGGATGATACAGGAGCCTAGGAAATCAATACTAGAAATTGTTCTAATAACAACAATGAGCATGAGAGTAACAGCGGATGTTTCTAGGGCACCAGTTTTTTATTAGACATTCTGTTATAGTACTTCTATGCATATAAGTTGAGTATATAATTTACATTTATATATATTAATTTATATATAATTATATATCATTCTGCTATATATTCATTTAATTGATGTATTTAGTTAATATATTAATATGATATGTAAGTATTAATTTATACGATATAAAGATAATAATACAGTCATATAATTAAGAGCGTGGCTTCTGGTGTCAAAATCTTTGGCTTCAAATCCACATCCATCACTTTCTGTGTAACCTCTCCAAGTCTTTTTTCCTCATCTGTAAAATGGAGATAATAATAGTATCTTCCTCGTTCTTTTAGTCATCCTTTCAATAAGCACTTGAGTACATACTATGTGTCTATGACTTTTTGAAACACTAACTCCTTGGCGATTTTAAAAGAGAAATTTGTGACTTTCTAAAAGTTGCATATATTGTAGATGCCACACACACAAAGAAAATACATATAGCATATCATACGTAATAAGTGTTATGAAGCAAAATACAGCAAGGAGGGGGTTTACAGTTTTAAATTGAGTGGTGGGAGAGAACCTCACTGAGACGTTGCATTGGAGTAAAGACATCAAAAAAAAAAACCAAAAAAACAAGCAAATGAACAAGATATGGATGTCTCTGAGAGAAGAGCATTCCAGGAAGAAGGAACAAGGAATACACATAGCCTGAGGAGGGAGGGTTTGAAGGAGAATCAGAAGACTCAGTGTGATGCAGCAGAGTGAGCACGTGGATGGTCATAGGAGACGGAGTCAGAGAAATCACAAGACCAAGTCACCCAAAGCCATATTGAACCTATGAGCACTTGCCCTGAGAGAAACCAGAAGTCTTTGGAGAAATGAGGAGGAAGAGACAGGATCTGGCTTAGCTTCTCAAGGAACCAAGATGGCTGCCATGCTAAGAATAACTTATAATGGAGAAAGATCAAATACAGAGAAACTAGTTAGAAATATACTACAATAATCCGGGCGAGACATGATGTTGGCTTGGGCCAAGGGGGTAGAAATAGAAGTGGTGAGAAGTGGTCAGATTCTGGATGTATCAGAAGATATAGCTGCAGTTTTGCTGATGAATTGTATATAGGATGGGTTGGGAGGGAGGAGAATATAGTAAATCATTTCCAGGCAGGTGGAAGTGTAAATGGGTATGATCAACAGGCAGTATAAAGGTCCACAAATGAGCCATTGGCCATTGTGCTCTATGAGCTAGATTTTCCATGTCAAGTGGACAGAATGAGTACATCCAGGAGGAGAAGTGTCAGGCTCTTGAGACCTACCCCCAGATCCGATCTGAGTCTCTATTTCATGTTTCAGGCATTTCTGGGGACTGGAAAAATTACTTCACAGTGACCCAAGCTGAAGCCTTTGATAAGATATTCCAGGAGAAGATGGCAGATCTTCCTCAAGAGCTGTTCCCATGGGAATAATTTTCAAAAACTTCTGGATCTTACATGAATATTAATATCTGTTTTCCTATCCTTGTACATATGCATGAATGGGAGTAATTGCAGAAAACCCGTATTTCATCCTGATGCCTCAAATGATCAAATCTTTGCATCTTTGAGGACTTGATTGCTAAAAATTACCAGGGAACCCCTAATTCACTTTGTGGCATCCCAGCTTTTAAAAAAATATTTGTAATGTTTCATACAAACAGTATGCTGCAGAAATATTATAAGTAGTACCCAAAATTATGTCAGACTTTTTAAATAAAAATGAGATATAAAATTAAGAAGCAGTTCAGGCTCCTTTTCTTTCCATTTCCTGTACCTTCACAATTTATTATGATTCTGATCTTCAGGTATATAATTCCCAACTTAGTATTATTCTCTTACTATGTGGTGTTTGATCATAGACAATATATGGTGGAGTGATATCAGCATCAGGTAGAGTGAGTTGTTCCCTTAGTCTCTCCCCTTTAAGTTACAATTCAGTGGAATTCATTAGCCAGAAGAGGATTCCATGCAGAGCACAACAGGATGTCTGAGAGATCCATGTAGCTACACATCTAAAGGTGGGTGGACTGAATCCCCAGGGGGCAGTGGAAGCAGGTGAGTGCACCCCTCCTCCTCCCTGATGGCAGTGAGTCAGGTTGCTGATCCTCACACGGCAGCTAGTGTGAGTGTAAGAGGATGCAGGGGCCGCCTGGCTGTGGGAAGACTTTCAGAGTGGCAACCTGGCCTGAGGGAGCACACACTATGCCACAGTGGCCCCCCTGATGAGAATGCTCTACACTGAGTGGTGGCAACTCAGCCCCCATGAAGATGCCTGCCAGCTGAGCACAGCACAGGAGACAAAGCACCTTCCCCACTGAGAAGGCACCCCCACCCATGGAACAAGAAGCCCACGGGACCCACTGAGTGGAAGCTCATTCCCCCCATAGGTTCCTCTCCCCCCAGTGCAGCACAGTTGAGAAGGTGCCCTGCCCACTCAGAACACCCCTGAGTAGGTGCCCCTCCTGCCTAACATCCAGCAGTTCAGCTGGTCCCCTGCCCAGCACAGAGGCCCTGCCCACGTGAGCACAACCTGCAGATCAGCTGCAGACAGCCCAGGCAAACACAGAGTAGCTTTAACCACACAACTTCAAGAAGAGGGGGTGGGATCAGAAAACACAACTCTTGCTCCCCCTCAGCCATGGCAGGTGGAATCTGTGACAAGATACTACCACATGTGTCCTGGCAAAGGATCAATTCATCAAACACCATGAAGAATGACAGTAACACTTCAGAGAAGAAGGGAGATGACAAGTCTCCAGAAACCAATCCTGAAGTCACAGAAATTTACAATCTAAATGACAGGAATTCAAAATAGTTGTCATAAAGAAACTCAATGGGTTACAAGAAAACTCAGAAAGACAGTTCAATGATTTCAGGAATAAAATTAATGAGCAGAAGGGATTCTTCACCAACCTTTATTGAACCTCTTAAAAAAAAAACCAAACAGAAATTCTGGTTATGAATAACACAATTAATGAGATAAAAATAATCTAGAAACAATAAAAAGTAGAGCTCATGTTATGGAGGACAGAATTAGTGAATTAGAGGACAGAAATATGGAAATGCTTCAGGTAGAGGACGAGAGAAAACTACAATTTTTTAAAAAATGAAGTAATTCTTTGAGAAATATCTGACAATTAGGAAAAGCATTATAAGAATTAAAGATATTCCAGAGGGAGAAGAGAATGAGAAAGAAGCAGAGAGCTTGTTCAAAGAAATGATAGCTGAGAACTTCCCAAACCTGGGGAAGTACCTGGACTTACAAGTACATGAAGCCATAGAATTCCTAATTACATCAATGCAAAAAGACCTTCTCCAAGGTATATAATATTAAAACTGGCAAGCCAATAACAAAGAAAAAATATTATTAAGGGCAGCAAGGCAATAGAAAATACCCTACAAAGGAACCCCTATCAGGCTTTCAGTGGATTTCTCAGCAGAAACCTGACAGGCTAGAGAGAATGGAACAATATATCCAAAATAGTGAAAGACAAAAATTTCAGCCAAGAATACCCTATCCAGTGAAACTATCCTTCAGATACAATGGAGAAATAAAAGCTTTCCCACACAAACAAAAGCTGAAGGAGTTCATCACCACTAGACCTCCCCTACAAGAAATGATGAAGGAATTCCCCCCTACTGAAGCAAAAGGTAAAGATTTACAAAGTTTTGAGCAAGGAGACAAATAGACAAAATCAGAAAATTGTAGCTGTCTATCAGAACAGGTTAGCAAACAATTATAACATAACAGATAAAGGGAATGAAAGCATCAAAAATAACTATAAACACTTCAATTTAGTCACAAACTCACAACACATAAAAGAAGAATTGGTGACAAGAAGAACTCAGACGGAAAGAGGAAAGAGATAGAACGTGCTTAGGCTAATGGAGGTAAGAGGCTATCAGTAAATGGACTGTCTTGTCTCTGAGATCTTTTATACAAAATTCTTGGTAACCAATAAACAATGAATCAGAATAGAGCCACAAATCATAAAGAAAGAGAAAACTGAGAAAACCACCAAACGGATGGTAGTCAGAAATACAAGGGAAAACAAACAATGGAAATATAGAAAAACTGGAAAAAAAGAGATAAAATGGCAGTATAAGGCCTCATATATCAATAATAACTCAATGTAAATTGATTGAATTCACCAATCAAAAGACACAGAGTGGCTGGATGGATTAAAAAACAAGACCCAACAATATGTTGCCTCCAGGAAACACATTTCAGCTCTAAAGACAAACACAGGCTCAGAGTGAAGGGATGGAAGATGATACTAAAAAGCAAATGGCAAGCAAAAGAAAGGAGCAGTTGCCAAACTTATATCAGACAAAGCAGACTTCAAGATAAAAAAGGCAATGAGAGACAAGGAGGAGCAGTATGTAATGATACAAAAGACATTATACCAAGAGGACATAACACTTATGAATATATATGCACCTCACATAGCAGCAACAAAGCATATAAAGCAACTACTAGCAAACCTAAAGGGCAAAATTGACAGCCACACAATAATAGTAGGGGACTTCAACACCCCACTTACATCAATGGATGGATCATCCAGACAGAAAGTCAACAAAGAAATAATGGCCTTAAATGAAACACTAGACCAGATGGACTTAATAGATATAGAACATTCCATCCAAAAACAGCAGAATACACACTCTACTCAAGTGCACGTGGAACATTCTCAAAGATAGACCATATGTTGGGAAACAAGGCAAAACTCAATACATTTAAGAAGATTGAAATGATACCAAGCATCTTTTCCAACCACAATGCTATGAAAATAGAAATCGACTACAAGAAAAAAGGCTGAGAAAGCCACAAATATGGAGACTAAACAATACACTACTGAACAACCATTGGATCAATGAAGAAATCAGAGGAGAAATAAAAAAATCTAGAGACAAATGAAGATGAAAATACAACATACCAACTCTTATGGGATGCAGCATCAGTTGTTCTAAGAGGGAAATTTATAGCAATACAGGCCCACCCCAACAAACAAGAAAAATCTCAAATAAGTAATCTTGAACTACACCTAACAGAACTAGAAAAAGAACAACAAAGTCCAAAGTCAGCAGAAAGGGAAATAATAAAAATTAAAGCAGAAATAAATGAAATCGAAGCCAAAAGAACAGTAGAAAGGTCAATGAAACTGAGAGCTGGTTCTTTGAGAAGATAAACAAAACTGATAAACTCCTAGCCAGACTCACTAAGAAAAAGAGAGAAGGCTCAAATAAGTAAAATTAGAAATGAAAGAGGAGAAATTACACTGGACACCACAGAAATACAAAGGATTACAAGAGAATGAAAAACTATGAAAAACTATATGCTAATAACCTGGAAAATCTAGAAGAAATGGATAAATTCTTAGACTCATACAACCTTCCAAAACTGAATCAAGAAGAAATAGAAAATCTGAATAGACCAGTCACAAATATAGAGATTGAAACAGTCATCAAAAACCTCCCCAAAACAAATGCCCAGGACCAGATTGCTCCTCTGGAGAATTCTACCAAACATTCAAAGAAGATGTAATACCTATCCTTCACAAACTATTCCACAAAATTGAAGAAGACAGAATGCTTCCTAATTTATGCTATGAGGTCAACATTATACCAAAGCCAGACAAGGACAACACAAAGAAGGAAATTACAGGCCAATATCGCTGATGAACTTAGATGCAAAAACCCTCAACAAAATATTGGCAAACTGAATACAGCAATACATTAAAAGGATCATACACCATAATCAAATGGGATTTATACCAGGGATGGCTCAACATCACACATCAATCAATGTGAGATACCACATTAACAAAATGAGGAATAAAAACCATATGATCATCTCAACAGATGCAAAGAAGGCATTTGACAAGATCCAACATTGATTTATCATAAAAACTCTCAATAAAATGGGTATAGAAGGAAAGTATCTCAACATAATAAAGGCCATATATGACAAACCCACAGCCAATATCATACTCAATGGTGAAAAACTGAAAGCCATCCCTCTGAGGACAGGAACCAGACAAGGGTGCCCACTCTCACCACTCCCATTCAGCATTGTACTGGAGGTTTTGGCTTGAGCAATTAGGCAAAGACAAGAAATAAAAGATATCCAAATTGGAAGAGAAGAAGTGAAACTTGTACCGTTTGTGGATGACTTGATTCTGTATGTAGAAAACCTTAAAGAATCCACCAGAAAATGATTAGAAATAATCGACAACTACAGGAAAGTGGCAGGGTACAAAATAAAGTTACAAAATCATTTGCATTTCTATACACTAATAACAAACTAGCAGAAAGATAACTCAAGAATACAATCCCATTTACTATTGCAACAAAAAGAATAAAATATCAAGGAAAAAATTTAACCAAGGAGGCGAAAGACCTGTACACTGAAAACTATAAGACATTATGGAAAGAAATCAAAGATGACATAAAGAAATGGAAAGATATCCTATGCGCATGGATTGGAACAATAAACATAGTTAAAACGTCCATAGTACCTAAAGCAATCTACAGATTCATTGCAATCCCAATCAGAATCCCAATGACATTCTTCATGGAAATAGAACAAAGAATCCTAAAATTTATATGGAACAATGAAAGACCTTAAATAGTCAAAGTAATCCTGAGCATAAAAGAACTAAGCTGAAGGCATTACAATCCCTGACTTCAAAATATTCTTTAAAGCTACAGTAATCAAAACAGCATGGTA